GTCATGTAAAAGACAAACATCCGGTAAGCAACAAGAAAACTGAGTCAGCTTTCTCTTGCTTTACAACTGTGAGAAACAGTGTCAATGGGAATAGGAATATATTCTCCACCTTAAAATATGTTCACATATCTTGCATAACTCTTCAAGGACTGAAACTTCTGGAATTTGATTGGCATCTTACAGCAAACTCAAAATGCAAATCTACGATTTCTTCTTCACATCAGTGTTTTTTGCTTATGCAAATAGTCCCATTACCTTTAATAGTCTTATTTGCAAGAGTAAAAATAACTTGGATGATAGTGTATTTGCAGGCTCAGAACTGTATTGGCTAGAAAGCAAAACATTTATTTTTTGTAAAATCTTCTACAGTGTAACAGTGCAGTGTTTCTCCACAAGTATTTTGTTTGGAATTTTAAACCAGGCTGTAAATTTAGCTCTTAAAGGACATATGTCACCGCTAGTTTTTGTCATTGAACCTCTAAACACACAAGAAGGCATATCAATAATAATGAACCTTAGTTTATTTGGTAATAATTGAGTTCATGATGAAAATTATTTTTTTTTTTACAGTGTGCTCCTTATATATCCAGCTCTTGTATTTTACTTATACAGAGAAAACTGATACTACAGATCAGTGATGAGGTTTAATTGTCTTTAATGGTATTGCCTTATGTCTGAAGAGTTCCCGTGTTATAGTAAGACATTTCTCTCATAGGTTTAACATATTGGCAGTCATTCTTTTACTTCTTATACAAATGTAAACTTAGAAAACAGTTTATTTCATCCAAATGTGCAATCTGAAATCAAAAACCGAATGTAAACTTCAGAAAATCAAAATTACAAGAGCACACTTTTCACAAGAAAAATCAAAGTAAATGAAACAAAAACATTTGGAATTAAAAAAAAACACAAACAACCCAGCCTGTTCAAATCCACAGTGTTAGTGTCTGTACTAAACAAAAAGACCTGGGGGCTCAACGCTCCGCTTCTGCAGACTACTGTCACCCACGTAAATTTAGTGGAATACAACAGTTTGTAGCAGCTGAGGAGGTGGTCCCACGACTAACCAAAAAGGACCTAAGTACTGATCTGATTTTTAAAGCTTGCCTTATTTAATTTACCAATCCTACACTTACGTATTCATACCAGAAAATAATCTCAAGAGCTGCAAAATGTCAGATATTTCATTAGCTCTAAGTGCCTTGATGAACAACAAATATACTGAGCCAAATCAATCCCTGGTACCACTTTGCACACAACTGGCTTCCAAATTACACCAGAAAAAAACACAGTTTATCTGCTTTTTCAGTGCATGCTACCTATTTTCAAGAAGCTATGATTTTTCAATGTCAGCATGGACCAACAAATTCAAGGAGCACTTTTTTATCTATGAAAACCCAATAAATTAATTTTCATAGATAAAATATTCTACTTTAATAAAGGGAAGGTTCTAGCAGGCTGTCTTCATTGAATCAAAATACAAAGGGAAGAAATGTGGGGGTTTAAATTGTCTATACTTCATCTTCTTTTGTATTAACTGACAGCTGCACAAATTAGAAAAGCCCAGTGATAGAAAACAGATCAACTGTGTCCATGGCCATGAAACTATGTATTTATGTGCAATGCAGATACATTTTTACTATATCTTTATGAAAAATGTACTAATGAAATCAGTGATTTGGAAAATATATTTCATATAACCATCGCGGTTGGAAGGGACCTCTGGAAGTCATCTAGCCCAACCCCCTATGCTCCAAGCAAGGTCAATTAATAACAGTGAGTTGACTTACTGCAAAAAGAGTAGCACATCATACACCTGTTCAAAGAGTATCTTTTTTTTCAGTTTTCTTCTTTTCTTTTCCATAGCTTACCTTAGCATTTTTTTAAACTTCAACTAAGAGAGAGAACAATTTTTCCACAATCATCCTACTCAAAGAGCAAAAATGAGTGGGTTTTTTTTTTCAGTTCGCTTAATATCAGGCACGATTCTGTTCTGACTTTTGCAGTAACTTATCTACTGGTTTCACGTTAGGTGTGTGTATAAGATCTGTCAGGATTGTGGCTTGAACAGCCATATGACCAGGCTAAATCAAAGTATCATTTGCTAGCAGTTCCCTCTTCGGAATTAATTGATGTGAAAGACTAACAGCTTGGATATTAGCAGATTATTTTTGCCAACAGACTCTGTTCTGCAAGTCAGTTGGTGTTTGTACATATTCTCTTGAAGTATGGAAGTCTGCATAGTTATGCTTTACTCATAGCACGTTGAATTCATGGATCATTCATGAGTAAAGATTAAAGTACTCAAAATCAGCCACACCAGTAAGATTTTTTTTCCAACAAATCTGATTCCAGATGTGACGCAGCAACTAAAAGCAGTTGTAAGCACTATGGGGCAGTTCTGCCAAAACAGTTACTGGGCTTAAATGAAGAAACAATTACCAGACTCCAAATGAAATTGTAAGTAACCGAGAAGCTTGACGCTGTATAGTTACATGAGGGAACTTAAGCTGATCTTAAAAGCACAACCTGAGAGTTGTAGCTTTGCTTTCTCAGACCAGTACTGCTTGGATGTGGAGACGGTTCCCTCAGATTTCTCTTAAGGGTTGCAAAAGAGTTACATTTCTCCCCCTGAGCTTCACCTAACAGGAAAAATTATCTTTGACAGCTTTCCAGTAGTTACTCTGCCTGAAAATACCACATACTCCACAAAAGCACTTGAACTCTCTGCAGGTCTAACCACACACATTAACCTGAAAAGGGCAGACTAGGTATCAGTTGATCCTAAATTAAACCTATCTCTGTTGTTAATTTTTATATACAATATGGATGCAATCCTGCAGGACACACTCTGTGAGGGTTGTACCAAAGACTGCAAGATTCAAAGCTCCATCAAACAACAAGTCAGTTTTGCTCTCAGGCATTGATATAAAAAAAAGCACATATTCCAGGTGGTCTGGTTTATATAAATATACTCCAGAGACTTTGACTTCATTCTTCAGAAGCATATAAGAAAGGAAAATATAGCCCATGAATTTTGATGTATTAAAATACAGAGATGCGTATTGCATTATTTCAGCAATATAATTACTTGGCAGTTAGCAAAACTTACAAAATAGATGCTAGTAAGTCTAAAAATTTTGAGTGTTAAACTCTGCCTTTGTTTACACCTAGGCAACTTTAACAGCTTTAGTCTAAGTTCAGCATAGTTGCATGGATACAACAGAAAGCAGAATTTAGCTTTTAGCTTTCTTGCAGAAAGAGTTTTTATGGCTTATAACATAGAATATTCATGAGACCATGCCTGAAGCTGAACACCTAATAGTAAATATCTTTATTGTACTCCTGAACATTTTCTTTTAATGCAGTGTCTGCCCTCAAGATCAGTGGCAGCACAAAGACTTCTTGCCTGGTGCACCACAAGCAGGTCAAGGAAGTCATGAGACAACATGCCCAAGGGTTGCAGAACAGTGCTTCTGATCATGAGAAACTCTTTGTGTCTACTCAGAAAGCAGTAGTAAAAATAAATGTTTAATCTTGAGTGGTAGGAATATACTTCAACTGTTGAATAAAATAAACACATTCAGGAAAACATTTAACAGCAGAGATAACTGGCAATTGTAACTACTTGCTACAGGGTGACCCTGCTTTGCCTGAGAAAGGACTGCACTGCCAGGCCAAATACTTTGAAGATGCAAAGGGCTATCCCAGTGTGTTTGACTGCTCTTCTTCAGTTACAGTACTTTCAGTTTATAGCAGCAGTAGGACTGACTCCGAGCTTCAGTTGTTTTGGCTTCTGCTTAGAACAGAAGTTGGACCTAATCCTGCATTCTTTTTGTACCCAAAATCTCCTGAGCATTATCAGGCATTCAAAATTCTGACTAATGTCTGTGAGAGTACTTGTTACAAAGGAATAAAGGACAGAGCCAATTGTAAGGAAAGCTGCACCTTAGAAAAAAAATACCCAGTAGTTTCCTCCACCCATTTTTAAGGGAAACACAATTTTCAAAAGCAGGATTTTAATGTCTTTATTTAAGGCCCCAAATCTATATTCCTTCTAGCTCCCAAAACTAAACATGAGAATGTTAGTTTTGCTTGAATAAGGCCTGCAAGATCCATCCCCAAATCTTGCTCCTTGTTAAATTGAATGGAAATTCTGCAAGTGACTTCAGTGGGATCAGAATAGACCCTTCATCCCCTAGCATGTTGCCCAGATATTTTAGCCACTTTTTCTGCAATACAATATTGTCTAAATCTGTTTTCACTGACCTGTAAGACACTACAGATTGTTGTTAAAAGGAAAGGGTAGAACACAACAGGAAACAATGTTGCTTTGGGAATTTTACCATTAGTAAGTTTCTTTCCCCTTACATTTTCTTGTAAGATCAAAGATCAAACTAAAATGATTAAGTACACAGTCAAGTAACTTTAAACCTACAGATCAAAATTATGCTCAAAATGTTCAAATACTTAAAAATATGCACTCAAGTTTACTTCTAAAAAGCATTTTTCCAACAAACTTAAGCTGATATCTAATAGTCTAAAATGCAGAGCTGTACTTCAACCTATTGTTTGTCCACGGGCAACGTATGGGGCCACAATGTATTGAAATCGTAATCCTTGCTTTCTGAAGAGAAATTGTTCTGTGTAATAATTTCTGAGGTGTGGTTTAAATTCCTGTCCTCCTCTAAGCAATTTCAGAAGTCATCTAAAATTATAATCAAACATGCTCAAACATATTTGTGGGCTTAAAAACATGGTGTGATCATGGTCGGCAAACACTGGATAGAAGGTCAAACCGAACACTTCCTAACAGGTCAAGAGTAAAAAAAAATGATAGAAATATGAACCTCAAAAATCTATTACAGGGGTTACCTAAACTTTGCCCGGCCAAGGACCACATTGGTGATTTGCCATGAGCGCAAAGGCTTCATGAAGGCATGTTATATGGAAGAGACTGAGTCACTTTCAATATAACAAGTTGGTCCATAGAGGTGACAGGTGCCAACAGGCAATATGCCACCCTGACGTTTGCCATAGGGCTATGTAAGATTTAAGAGGAAGAAAATAAGTCATTGCACCTACTCATGTAGAGCTTATATGAAAAAGGGTGGAAATGAAGGCAAGGGCAAGAGGGAAATGACAGCCAGGCATATGGGCACTAGGGTTATTAACATTTTTCTCAGATTAAAGTCAGCCTTGGGACACGTGGCCAGCTACCATTCCCACCTGTTATCTGTGCAGGCCTTCCCTATGGCTGCCCTTGGGAGGTCTGCCATGGACAAGAAGGAAAGTGGGACTGGTCCCCTGGCCCACAGGCTGTGCTTTGGCCACCCCTGACCTATTAGAAAATGTTGATATTTTTCCCCACTACAACTCACAGAGTGCAAAAACAGCAAGCGTCCAAGCGTCAAAGTTTGAAGCCCAGGCCTTCCCACCCACGCCAGGCCTAGCCTCCCTGGGCAGCCCCCCTGCCCACTCTGCCTTCCATCACCTGCTCCTCTGAGCAGAGGCGACCGCGCTACACGGCCAGGTCGTCTGACCTGGCTCTGCAGCTGCTCGACTTACTGGCCCTGCTCAAGCGCCGTGTGTCTATGAGCAGCGGTGGCTCATGCATCTCCACGGTGGTGCAGGCAGCTGAGACGGGCCGTTCCTCTGACAGCTCCTCCTCACCCTCCACATCCCACTTGCTGCCGCTTGCCCCGCTCAGGCTGGTGCTGCTGCCGCTGTTGGCTGCAGCGACGGGTGGCCCAGCTGGGGGTGGGAGTAGCTGCTCCAGTGGCTCTTCCTGCTCGGGAAGGTGACGCCGGACACTGCTGGGGGTAGAGGAGCAAGCTGAGCTGGAGGGCACCTTCTCCGGCTGCTCAGCTGCCATGTTGACCCAGTTATGCTCAGCTGCCAGGGCATGGCTGTTGCTGTTGAAGTAGTTGACGACGGCTGGCGTGGGTGTGGGGATGGGGGTCGGTATGGTGACAGGAGTGGAGATGGGCGTGGGAGTCACAGCACGGTGTCTCTCCTCAGGAACTGGAGAAGCAACAGGGTAGCTGGCCATGGGGGCCATGTTGGAGGGGGGCCGCGGTCTTGGAGCAGCTGCAGCGTAGTAGGGTGCCATGCTCACCGGGGCCAGCAGCGGTGTGACAGTGCGGGTGTCAGGCAGAACAGGGGGGGGTGCAGCAGTCGTTACCACCACGGGTGGTGCCGGTGGTGGCAGGGTAACAGGTTTGGACTCCCCTGTTACCATGACTGGTGTCATTGTTGCAACAGGCATCTCAAGGCTGTACCGGCTTGTCATGCCCTGCTTAAGCTTCTTCCATCCCAAGTGATATATCTCAAGCATGTTCAGCAGCAGGGAGACAGAGGCCACCACCAACATGAAGATGATGAAGATGGTCTTCTCAGTGGGCCGTGAGATGAAGCAGTCCACAGTATGTGGGCAAGGTGAGCGGCTGCACTGGTACACTGGCTTTAGCTCGAAGCCATACAGGAAGTACTGGCCCACAATGAAGCCCACCTCAAACAGCGTCTTGAAAATTATGTTGAAGACGTAGGTACGGAGCAGGGCCCCCCCCATGCGGATTCTACCGCGTTCATCACGGATCGGAAGCTTCTCCTTCCCCCTTTTGACAAGAGGATCCTTGATGTTATTGCTGCCTCCTCCACCACCACTGCCAGACACTGCTGCTCCTGGGTAATTGCCATCTTTGATGCTTCCCTTCTTTTTCAGCTCTTCTTTCTCTTTCCTCTTCTCCTCCATGCGTACAATGTGCAGTACATGGCCCAGGTAGATGAGGGTTGGAGTGGAGACAAAAATGATCTGCAGCACCCAGAAGCGGATGTGAGAAATGGGGAAGGCTTTGTCATAGCAAACATTTTCGCAACCAGGTTGCTGAGTGTTGCATGTAAAGTCTGACTGCTCATCTCCCCAAACCTCCTCAGCAGCAGCCCCCAGCACCAGTATCCTGAAGATAAACAGTACCGTCAGCCAAACCTTGCCAATAACCGTGGAGTGCTCCTGCGCATTCTCTAACAGTCTCCCCAGAAAGCTCCAGTCACCCATTGTTTCAGATTTCTAACCTACAATAAGAACATCAGAGCAATTAGAGCAATGTTAAAAAATCTTATAATTAGACAATGCCGGGACAGAACAGATTGATCCTCAACAAATGACATTTCATAAGTGTACTTCCTTTTGCAGAATATTGCATGCTTATGTTAAGAACTACATAACCTTGTGACGATGCAGTCATGGGTTTTAGTGAGCACAGAAGTGGGATGTTTAGTGCTTTCACCTAGCCAACACAAGTTTAAGTGTCTATACGCAACATGTAAGATTCATAACTAGTATTTCTACAAGATTTAAATATTTAAAAAACATGATTTCTGTTTTCTCCACCTGAGATGCCTCTAATTGTTCTTGCCTATTTTCAGAAAAGGATGGAAATCAGTTCAATTAAACAGAATATTCCTACTATTAATGCAACTTGCACTTGCACCAGAGTGTGATTAAAGTTTGCCTAACTCTAATTATCTTATTGTTATCAGGACTTATTCACTCCAGCATTCAGGAGGTTAATAATGTCCTAGGTCTCTGTTATTTTCATATTGTACAAAAACAGAAAAATAAATATTAAAAACCTACAGAATTTACAGTTTAATTTTGGAATGTGTACACCACCAACAAGCATGTTCTCAAAGCCTAGTCACGTTTGAGTTTATTTCTAAAAAGATAATTATTTAAATTACTTGAAATATTGGGAGGAATGAGAAATTCTGAGAGGAATGGTGGTAAGTTTTCCATGCCATTTCCCCTCCTGTTCTGATGGTGTTACTAAACCACATGTACTGCAATGTTATTTAAAAAAAACCAAAACCAAACAAACCTCAAGGGCACTTCAGCAACTGTGCACAGAGATTTTCTTGGAAAAATAAAATTATATCCTGTGACCTTACTTCTGTGACAAACAGCTGGTAAATATTCTCAGTAGTTTCCACCAATTCATGTATGCTGGGCTTCCCATTGTCCAATTCTAGGCAGTGACACAACTTCTGATTTGGAAAGGCTTAAAGTACAAGAATTTTTTTTAAAGATCAGATTCCTCACAAGCTGCCTTCAATTGAGAAACAAGCTATTATCTGCTGGTATCACTTTGGTTATCCTTGGCCTGTTCCTAATTGGAATACATGTAAGAATATTAGAACATACGTAAGAAGTACATTTCATTATTCTAATGAACACACTTCTATGCTTGTATGTCAATCTTCAACTGAAAATAAAATACAACTTTCAGCTAACTTCAATACCTTCAAAAATACTTATAATTCAGATATAACAATTTGCATGCAAAAAAACACCATCAGGAAAGACTGATTATCCTCTTGCTCAGAATATTCAGAATAATAAAATCTCAGAATATTTTATAAATACACTGAATTACATTTTACTATTTTTGTTTTTATACTTATACTTCTTGTCCAAATAACCATGTGTCTTACAATTCCCAAGAAGAAAAAGCATTTATCATTACAGGTAGGAATTTACCTCTAAGAAAATGTACTATTCTTGATATTATGTTACTGTGATTTTCAGCAACGATGTCACTGTTTTTCCAGAGAAAGTATTTCCAAAGTCTGTACTGAAGTCCTTTCAGGCTTTTAGTTAAGGTAATTTAAGAAATTAAAGTTATTTAAGTTCCTTTTTTTATAACTCAATTTTACGATGAAGCAATGAAATACCTGTAACTGCAGAACAGTACACTTTCACACAAAAAGCAACAACACACCTGTTAGTATTTTGCATTTTTGTAAATCCTGGAATATTAATTCACTTTTTATCCCCACAAAGGTAATGCAACAAAAACTCCTAAAACAAATAGATCTTTGATATTTTACAAAAACACGTTACCTTTAATATAACTTAATTATTTTTCCGGCATAGCATAGTAAACTGCAAATGATGATATTAACAATGAAATACCGATTTTGTGTAGTAATGTCCCTGGTCCTAAAACAATTTTTAATAATTTTAAGTATATACAGATTTTTTTTTGACAAGTGTGTTTTTTTCCCCACTTAAAACAGTAGCCCAAACCAGAATAAATTAAAATACTTATTTTTAATAACCTATTTTAATATTTTTTTATAATTTTAAAATTTAATTCTCAATCTTAATTTTATGAGGTTTACAGTATTTTGGACAGTGAAGTAATTTTAATCTTGAGAAGTATTAATTTTTCAGGGAATAATGAATTATTTTTTTATCTTTTTTACTCAAAACCATTTGAAGATATGCTCAGTTTAGTTCCATCTTTGGACAGAACTAAACTGTTGTTTGGGAATAATCTCATATTGAGTAGGAAAATGTAGGAACATAAAAATTAATAATGTGATATTTGATGGATTAAAGAAGTTTAGCATAACCCTATATTCAGTATTTAATTTCTCTGCTATCCTTTGCAATATTCTGTGTTTCTCTGTTCAGTTCTCTCCGCCTCACTCTTTATTTTCTATCCAGATCAAGCAAAACAGGCAGCTCAGATAATAAGTAGTCAAAGTTACAGTTTGTTCTTTTGTTACTAATACTTGTAATGGAAAGTTTATTAATCAGCAGAAGTTAGCACATTAAGTCTTCTTTAATTCATTAATTATGGTCCACTTTCAGCACAGCTGCCATTACTCTTAAGTCCAACAGCACAGAGGCCACACAATATTCTTTAAAAAATGAATTTGATTTGTCCTCATGAAAAATTACAACCCCTGCACTGTAAGGTGAACAGAGGTGGCAATCTTTTATTTTCCCCTATAGGCACACCAGAGTGTCTCTCTTACTAAGATCAACAGGCAATGTTGAGTACAACGAAAGCAGGATTTTTTGTGCCTTTCTGAAGAATTATCTAGTGATTAGTGGAAGAAGAAAAATAACAATTTGTAAAAAGTAAAGGAAAGATGATGAATAATATAATGTACTTTATTCTCAATCATTCTCCATACACTAATAAGCCTGAGGATGTTTTTTCCTTTTACTACAGGTCAACAATGCCCAGGCGGAGATAATTCAGGATAGCAAAGACATGACATGACACATTTCTCAAAGGATACACTTTAAAAAGCTATTCTAATGCTTACATTAATAAAAAGATTTATTTCTATGTATCAGAGTGTGCAAATTCATCCTGTACACAAAGAAAAAGTGTTTAAGCAGTGAGCATATACTTCACAGCATCTTAACCACACAGAGGTGAAAACCGCAGTGTTCACCCGAGTATGAATCACAGCAATCACTGCCTTCACTACACGTGTATTACCCATAGTACATAAATACGGAAAGGGCAATGCAGAGATACATATCTCCACTGGCTGAAGCGTTCTCAGAAATCCAGGTCCCATATCTTTCTTCAATGTCAATACATCCTCAAGTGAGTAATTCTTAAAGCTAATGTAACTCATCCAAAGATCAGATCAACAATTTTAAAAGGGTGCCTTGATACAAATAATGATTAAATGACATCAAACAAAACCGGAGGGCTCACAGAGCTCACAGAACATTTGAGCTGTCACCATGAAGTTCAACAATAAAATATCAAAATCTAAATTTAAACAGCCACAACTCAGTATTTTAGCTGAGAACAATTCCAAGCTTTCTTTTGTAGTATAAACATAAACTTCAACTGTAGAGTACTACTTTCAGTGCTGCTAAAATACAGAGCTAGGCAACAGTTAAATCCTAATCTTATATATAGATTGTGAAGGGAGACATTGTTTTTTCTGCGTTTGGAAAAAATACAGATTAAGAAAGGAAACAAGTTTATCTGTATTTCACGACATTCATGCGGAAGTACCTGCTGGGGAATAACAGATAATCTATCTCAGAAAGCAATCTACTTCAGTGGTATGAGAAGCAAGGACTGCATGAAACTTGTGATCATTTAGTAAGAACTGAGAGTCGTATATTGTTTGTGTCACTTAGAAAAATAATTCCTCTGACACAAGTATTGAAAAACAGGCAGTTCACAAAAACTGGCATGGCATTCTGCTTAAGAATCAATGCTGTGCTATTAATTATTAGGTTTAATACATGCACAAATACACTTTGTGGATGCTGTATTGTGTTTGTGTGTGTGTGACAAAGAGAATGAACAAGAGAGAGAATAAATTTTAAAGCGGTCATATCATATATATCTCTCTACAGGAGAAAAATAATTATCAGGTGTCATCTATAAACTTGCCCAGTTATTATTTCTATTTCTAAGGACATCTCCAAAGAGGTTCATCACTATGTATCAAGTGTGTGAAATAATTATTTATAATTTTACTCATACATGTATATGTTTATGTATTTATATTCACATACGCACACATCTACACACATAACTAACTACACAGCTATGTTACATACATTATCAGATTATGACACCTGGTGTATTTATGATTTTATTATACTGCTATATCTCAAAAATGTCCCTTAGCAATTATTTAGAAACCTAACAGATGTCCTTGTCTGAATATGACTTCTTAAATTCAGTCCACATTTTCTTTCATTCCTTGTGACAGTAAAATCTTGGGATTTAGGTTTTTATCTTCAAAATTATCTGAATTCTATAAACAAGTATGAGGAAAAAAATGCTGTTAAAAGAGAAAACAACTTGTAGTATTTCCTTTGTTCTTGCACTGAACAATCAGGCATCTCCATTACTACCAGGTTTTTAACTCTGCTAATTTAAATCCAATAAAAGTAGTCACCCTGCACAAAGTCTGCAGCATGACCATGACATTCCAGACAAACTGGCAGACATACAAGGACAGAATGAGCCACAGAATAATATCCAGTGAAACCCAGTGGTATTTGATCATGTACCTATATATGAAACACAACGGTGGGTGTTTCATAGTTCACCATGGAAGTTTCATACTTCATTTTATAAACTTGTTTAAATGAGCACTTCAAAAATACCTTTCTTCTTACTCATAGTGTCATACTTCCAGACACATCTATTACCACTTTCATTATTTTAAACACTTGTTAAAAATTAATTCCTTAACTGACCTTGTTATTACCTTAAACTTACTTTACTGCTATGGAGCCTTCTCCTTAAATCCCAGGCAAAACTTCGCTTGACTTCTTCTTGACTTCACTTGACCTCTGAGTGAAAGTTTGGCCTGAGTAAAGGAAAAAGTGCAAGGAGTGCAAGGCTGAGCCCAGGAGGAGAACTACACCCCGCCTGTTAAACCTCTCTGTTCCCTGGTGTAACAAACCCTCTGATTCACTACGCACAGGAGAAAAACAGGACAAAAAGTAACCCCTCTTCTCCCCCGGAATACTCAAATGCCATCTTAGAACTCTACGTTGGAATTAAAAGATGGTGACTTACCAATAAAACTCTGAAAGGTGTGAAGGGTGTGGAGCTACCAGGGGACTATGGAACAGCTGTCGAACATGAGGGTAAGAGTCCCTACATCCCGAGTGAGTGAAGCATGAATGAGTCAGATCTGTCAGGTGCCCACATACGATCAGCCACATGGATCTAAAAACTGCACAGTAAGGAGTGCTGTCTCT